CTCTGTCCCCACTATGTGCCCCTGTCTGTGTCTCCCCACTGTGTGCCCGCTGTCTCCCTCTCCCCACTGTGTGCCCGCTGTCTCCCTCTCCCCACTGTGTGCCCGCTGTCTGTGTCTCCCCACTGTGTGCCCGCTGTCTCCCTCTCTCCACTGTGTGCCCGCTGTCTGTGTCTCCCCACTGTGTGCCCGCTGCCTGTGTCCCCCCACTGTGTGCCGGCTGTTGGCAGGGCAGCAGCACTTAGCCTCGGCTGCAACGTGGATGAAAAGCCCACACGGTCTTCATTCCCCATGTGTGCTCTTGGCTCTTCTCTGATAGAAACTGGCCAGTATCTCACCTTGTCTTTCTTTTACTTTTCTCTTTAATTTAAATTTCATCTTTCAGTTGTAGTTTACAGCATCTTGCTCAGACAGTCATACATTTTAGGACGTGTGCCCCCCAATCTTCCCAGTGCCCACCTGGTCCCCTACCCAGTTATTACAATACTAGGGGCCCAGTGCACAAATTTGTGCCCCGTAAAAGGAACTGTGGGCCGTGAGGCTGTGGTGGGCACAGGGGTGGGTCTTGGCCCATCCTCCGCACCCTGCCTGGCCCCTCCTGCTGTAGCCCCCAGTCCCCTGTCTGCGGGCAGCCCCGCTCCCACCGCCGCTCGCTGGCACCAGCTGACGGGCAGAGAGCGATTGGGGTTGGCGTCAGCAGTGGGTGCGAGCGGGGCCTGCGCTGGCAGTAGGTGTGAGCGCTGGGTGGGGCTGGCGCATGGGAGCAAAGAATTTTCAGTAATCACCAGACCCACCCCGATGGCAGCAACCAGCGCCCTGCCTTGGTCTGGTGCCCCCCACCCCCACCTGCTCTTCCATCCTGCCATGGCTGACGGCCACCATGTTCCATGCTCTGCTGCCTGCTGCCGATGCCTGCCATGTTCTGCATGCGTCCCCGCCCCAGGTGGTCAGCACACATCATAGCAACCGGTTGTTTGGTTGTTCCAGTTTTCGGTCTATTTGCATTTTAGGGTTTTATATAGATAGATTACTGACTGTTCCCTGTGGGTACCTCCCATCCCCAGGACGGTTCTGTAACTGCCAATCGGTGCTCCTCATCCCTTCCCCTCTCCCCAGCACCCCCCTCCCCATCAGCATCGCCTCTAAAGGTGTCTTTCTTGACAAAGTTGTCTCTTTTTTGTGAAAACAGAACATATCTTCTGAAAACAGGAATACCCATCAAACGGTTCTCCCTTGTAGTGAAAAGAGGAATGATGGAGCAGGTGCAGGGATAGTGGGCTGGTACCGTGCGTGCCAAGCCCCGGAGGCTGGGAGTCAGGGCTGCTGGCAGGGCTGGGGCAGGGGCCTGGGAGGAGGTGGACACAAAGGCCACGCAGGGAGAGCCATGCCCTGCGCTGGCCTGACTCTGAGGACCCGCACGCAGGGCAGCCAGAAGCAGCGGCGAATGCAGAGATGAGCTTTTGTGAAGGAACCAAAGAACAGAGCGAACAGGAGGGAAGGGAAAGTACCGGGGAGTCCTTTTTTCAGATGGGGAACCAAGAACAAGGGCATCGTTCCTGTGGGTAGGCGTTTAAATACCTCCGACAGCAGGGACCTCAGGGTTTCTCTTCTTTCTTTGGAAAGGAAGGGGGGGGGATTGGCGAGGGGTTCTGGGAAAGGGGAAGGGCCAGGTAGGAGGAGGCCAGGTAGAGTGTGTGGAGTGGCGGTCGCAGAGCCCTTACCTGGTCCCTATGGTAACTAGAGGCTAATAAGCGAGGGCCTCAGCGTATTGTCCCCGTTGGGCCGCCTGGGAGGGAGTGTGGCCCTTGGTGATGAACACTGATCGGTGTCGTCCGGGCGCTTTCCTAACGGCGCCTCCTCTTGCCTTGGCTGCTGCAGGCTACTTCTTGGTCCTGAATGACCTGATCGTGTCCTCGCTGGAGCTGACCGTGCACGCGGGTGAGCCCGCCCTGCTGGGCTGCGTGTTCCAGAGCGTGGAAGGGAAGCGCGTGACCAAGGTCGACTGGACATTCTCACCCAGGGAGCACGCCCAGGTGACGAGGAGGACACAGGGCCAAGCTGTGGGAGCCTTGCCCGGGGTCGGGACGCGAGGGAGGGGAGGCCAGGTCTCCAGGGGCCATGAGGTGAGTGTTCAGGAGCTCGGGCTCTGGAGCGCATCAGGACCCCTCTCCGCCTGGACGTCCAGCCTTGCTGCGCGTCCGCCTCCCTCTGTGAGGAAGCTTAGGTCATCATTGGGAGCTCATGGGAGACGTGCACATACGTTACAGTTTGTTTTCTCAGTGTTGCCCTCCGTGGAGCAGCGCAGGTGCCTGGGGCGGGTGGCAGGGAAGTGAGTTGGTCCGCACAGTCGGTTGTGACCTCAGCATGTATGTGCGGGGGAATCTCTCGTCCTCCTTCCCAGCTGTGTGCCCCGTGGGGGTGGGCAGGTGCAGCACAGCTGCGGAGGTGGTTTCGTGGGCTCTTTGGAGCAGGAAGCAGAGCTTCTGCGGAGATGCTTCTATGTCAGGATCACGTGGGGAAAATGTCCTACTAGCATGTTATTAACAACAAGCTCCCAAGGTTTGCAAATGAAATGTTATTTTTGAAGCTCAGGACATGTTATTCCCAGAATGCTACGCTCACTGCAATGCTCATGGCTACTTAGTGTTACAGGATGTCCCAGGTGTAAGTAGAGATGAGAATCCCCAGGCCTGTCCCTCCGGCCTGTGCGCACTTCCTGTTGATGACTCCTCGTGCCTCACTGGAAGCTGCCGAGAGTGGGGCAGACGGGGCGAGTGACAGCTCCAGGCTGGGACTCTCACGCAGCCAGCGGGGCGTCCCATCGTGCCTCCGATTGCCAGCTGCTCCCAGGGTTGTGGCAGAAGACGGGTGAAGATGGGAGGTGGTTCCCACAGCTGAGTCTGAACCCCCAGAGCGATCTTCAGAGTGGGTGCTGAATTTCACCCCCAAGGCCAGGGCCGAAAGGTGTGGCCCCTCTTTCTCCATCCGGCTCTCTGTGAGCCATGGAGCGTGTGCACGTGAGATGCTTCCTGGCACATGATGATGTTTGAATCCCACTCAAAATATTTCACTCTCGCCCTGGCCGGTGGGCTCAGTGGATAGAGCATCAGCCTGTGGACTGAAGGGTCCTGGGTTCGATTCCAGCTAAGGGCACATGCCGGGGTTTCAGGCTTGATCCCCAGTGTGGGGCGTGCAGGAAGCAGCTGATCAATGATTCTCTCTCATCATTGATGTGTCCATCTCTGCCTCTCCCTTCCTCTCTGAAATCCATAAAAAATAAATTGCAAAAAAATAATCAGAAAATATTTCCCTTTGAATGAGCACCTTCTGATGATTCACATCAGCTGATTTGGGCCCCTGATGTCGTTCCCTCCAGGCCGAGTACGTGCTGTACTATTACGCCAACCTCAGCGTGCCAGTGGGGCGCTTCCAGAGCCGGGCGCGCCTGGCGGGGGCCCTCTCGCACAACAACGGCTCTCTCCTGCTCCAAGACGTGCAGGAGGCCGACCAGGGAACCTACACCTGCGAGATCCGCCTGGAACTGGAGAGCCGTGTGTTCAAAACCGAGGTGGCGCTGCACGTGCTGCCGGAGGAGCCCAGAGGTGCGTGGCCGCCGCTCAGAGGGGAGGCGGGGCTGGAGACATGAGGGCTAACCGGGCAGGGGCCGGAGTTTGTGGGAAATGCCAGGCCCGGCTCCGTGCTCACCACAGGACGAGCCTGCAGTCAGGAGTGCTCCTCAGAGGGGAGGCGGGGCTGGAGACATGAGGGCGAACCAGGCAGGGGCCGGAGTTTGCGGGAAATGCCAGGCCCGGCTCCGGCTCCGTGCTCACCACAGCACGAGCCTGCAGTCAGGAGTGCTCTCCAGTTAGAGCGAGGAGGAGGTCCCTAGCTGGCTTGGCTCAGTGGATAGAGCGTGGGCCTGCGACTGAAGGGTCCCGAGTTTGACTCCAGTCTGGGCACAAGCCTGGGTGGTGGGCTCGATCCCCAGTACGGGGTGTGCAGGAGGCAGCCAACCCATGATTCTCTCTCAGCATTGATCTTTCTCTCTCTCTCTCTTCCTCTCCCTTCCTCTCTGAAATAATAAAATATACTTAAAAAATAAATAAAATGAGGCTGCCTGACATTATTAGTTTAGAATCTTTCATGCTCCTCAAAGTGCTGCGGGGAAGTGCATTCCTTCCACTCACGGGCTCAGAGAGGCCCAGTGGCGGCTTCCGCCCCGTGTTTAGTAAACGCCAGACCCAGGGCTTGGTCCCGTGGCCTCTGGCATGCCCTTTTCACCGCGCCCACCCTTCCCGCCGTCCCCACGCTGATGCCGCCGTGTGTGGGTCCTGCAGGCAGCGCTCGGGCATGCAGGGCGCGAGCAGGTTTCCCTAACTTCTTCGGCTCTCAGTTTCCCATTGGTAAACGGAGCAAGTGGCTTCAGTAGATGGTGTGTGAGAGCTGCTCTGTGGAGCCCGGGGGCGCTCGAAGGATGAGAGCAGGAAGGGCGGGTGGAGGGCCTGGCCAGGTAGGACCTCACGCTCTCACCTCCCCTGCAAACTCAGCCCTTATCTTGTTCCTGATTTATTACGGGGCCGCCAGATAAGACTTTGTTTGAAGAAAGAATTCTGCTGCTTTAAAAGGCTTGGAAACCCCAGAATTCTGCACAGTTTTTGCGAGTGTTAGACAGAAGGAGACGTCTGGTCTGTGGCCTCAGGAACTAGTTGGGGCGCTGGAGTGTGCTCCCCGCCCCCATCCGGCTGGTTTGGGACCCTCCTTTAGAGAGCTCCTCCCGCCACCCGCCTCCCACTGGAGACGCTCATCCCTGCTCAGCTGTGTCTGCCCCGGTCACCTGGGTCTGTGTTTTTTGTCCCCTTACCAGCCCTGACTGGCTCCTTTTGTCCCCGACGGGCACAGAGGGAGCGATCAACAAACAGTTATGAATGAATGAGATTCTTGAATGTGCCCCTCACTGGAGTTTGGCGTCTGGAAACTGGAGTTGTAGACGGTAGCTTCTGGCCTCTCTCCTAATTTATTTATGTCTGTATTTATTTATTTTACTTTTCTTCAGTTGTCATTTTTCTGATTCCCAAGCTATGACCCTCTGGGAAGAGGACAGCAATCAGCTGCCCGTGTCCCCTGGGCTGGCCTCGGGCCATGGCTGTCTGCTCTGTCTGTGATGCCACGCCCCAACACGTGTCCACACGAGTGTGGCCCACAGAACGGGGCCTTTTCCTGTTTAGAGGAAACGCAGAGGGAACGAACCACAAGGAGTGGATCCCAGGCATTGAATCCGTCCGCACAGCGGGGACGTTTGTGGGGTGGTTAGATGTCCCCCAGGGCTGTGTCTGCTTTCCCCTCGTGCTCGATGGGAGCAGATCCAGCTCCTCGCCTCGCGGCCTGTGCCGCTGCCCCCTCTCCTTGGAAGCTCCGTCTGTGCAGTGGCTCTGATCTTCTCCACCAAGTGACCCTTCAGCTTATAATTTTTCTGATTCTAGGGCTTTAGTTCTTTTTTTCACTGTTCTTATTTAAACACTATAGACAATATTCTTACAAATAAAAACAATACCAGCTCCTGTTCGGCTGCTCTGGGGCGGCCATCCTTCCACTCTGAGGTGTGGAGTGAGGGAGTGAAAGCTGGGCGTGTGCCCACTCAGGCGGCTCTGGCCTCTCAGGTTCACCCTCTGTGCATGGGGAGGGTCCGAGTGAGTAGCTCCAAGTATTGTAATGCCCAGTCACAGGCTACGCACGGGTGCCTCCCACATGCCCGCTGCATTGGGAGGACTCAGAGGGTTCACTATTATTATTGCCTTTAAAAAACAGTTCAGTTTTAAAAATATACACATTTTTATTATTGATGTCAGGAAGGGAGAGAGAGAGAGAGAGAAACATCGATGAGAGAGAATCATTGATCGTCTGCCTCCTGCACTCCCCATGGGGATCCAGCCCACAGCCCTGGCATGTGCCCTGACCAGGAATCGAACCGAGACCTCCTGGTTCAGAAGTCGACGCTTTAACCACGGAGCCACGCCAGCCGAGCTAGAGTTCAGTTTGTAATGCGTTGCTAGCATTCGAGGCCGTTGCCTCCTCTCCTGGTGTTCTTTGGAGTGAATTTTTATGACTTTCAAAACAATTCCCTCTGCAGAGTTTCGAGTTCATAGTGTTTTCGTTGGCTTCGCTCTCATTCTGCATTTGTCCTGCTGGGCAGGAAGCTCGTTCTCCGAGGGGAACGGGTGGAGAGGTCGGCTGTGCGCCATTTGCTCCTTGCTGAACTTCGCTAGTGCTCTTCGGAAGGAGCTTTGTCCAGTTAAGACCTGGGCTCGTGCCTCCCTGAGCACCACCCTCCCTTCCCTTTCTTCACTGGCTTTGTGTTTGATTTGGCTAGGGCGGCATCGAAAAAGTCAGCACATCTTCCTCGTTGTTTTCTTTTCCAAGGGCCTCTTGCAATGATTTACAAAGTACACATGTGATGGGGTCAGCTGCTCACAGAATAAGCAGAAGAGGAGCCCAGGACTTGCAAAGCCAGAAGCAGGGGAAGTGGGAGCAGGCTGGAGGGTGGGGCAGGGAGTGAAACAGAAACAACATCCAGAGGAAAACTGTCTGTTGTCTTGGCCTAATTAGTAAGGAGTCCTGTGACCTGCTCTGTAGCCAGAACTGTCCTAAGCAAGTCCTAAGGCAACTTGTAGAAAGAAAGGAAGTAGAGGAGAGCCACCTGTGACTCAGTTCTTCAGCCGGGGCCCAGGGGGTTATCCTATTCTAGAGGCCTGTTGCAGGAAGATTCCTGCAAGAACAGGGCTTCCTGAGGCCAGAGCAAAGCAGAGAAGGGAGCAAAGCCGGAGGCGGGCTTCGCTCCCTCCCTGCCCCGCTGCCTCAGCTCCCTCCCGTGTCCTCTGCTTCACCTCTCTCCCGTGTCTGCTGCCTCGCTCCCTCCCGTCTCTGCTACCTCTGATCCGTTCCCTTCGCCGCTTGGCTCCCTTCTGCAGTGCTTGGCTTCCTTCTACACTGTCTTCACTCTTCACTGGGCCCCTGTGTATGCAAATTAACTGCCATCTTTGTTGGGTTAATTTGCATACTCTTCTGATTGGCTGGTGGGCATAGTGAAGGTACGGTCAATTAGCATCTTTGTCTTTTATTAGTGTAGATAATAAAAGGCTAATATGCAAATTATCTCCTCCACCGGGACTTAACTTGGAGTTCAACCAGGGGGCAGGGCCACCAGCCAACTGCCTGTGGCCCCTCCCCCCTGCCAGCCTGGTCCAATCAGCCCTGATTGGGTTGGGCTGACCGGACCTTGCCTGTGCACAAATTTGTGCACCAGACCTCTAGTATATGTATAAGAATGAGAGCGTTGTACCTTCCCACTTCCTGTTTATGCGAAGCAGATGTGGGAACCTCAGGAGGTGGGCAGACGGTGGTGGCCTTCACGCTTTCTTGTACTGTCTTCAGTAGGAACTTGAAGTGGAGTGGGGCCCATGTGAGGGAGAAGGGAACTGAAGACCAGGAAGTGTTTGTCGTACGAAGACAACAGGACTCTCGCCTTGATGTGCATGGGTGGCTGGAGGGGCTCTCTTCCTTGGGAGCACTGTGTGGTGTGAGGGGAGGCTTCTGAATTCGTGGTCCATCCCGACCATCTGGGCCATCCATGGAGAGGATGTGTGTAGTGTTGGTTGGTAATGTTGATCTTACTGTGGAGAATCTTTGGCTAAATGTTATCTCTTCTAGAAGTTCTATGGCCTCTATTGATTGTATCTTGGGTTTGACCTGATGTATCCTTTTATCCCCAGAGCTCACGGTCCATGTGGGTGATTCAGCTCCGATGGGCTGTGCTTTCCAGAGCACGGAAGAGAAGCTCATGACCAAGGTCGACTGGACGTTCTCACCAGGGAAGCATGCCAAGGTAAGGAGGAGGGACCGCCTCGGTATGGTAGGAGCCCCTGGTTGGCAGTATCAGGACAGTGGGGGAATCTAGGCATCCGGTGCCATGTGGTGGCATGACTGGGCCACTTGGCTGGGCCACTTCAGCTTTTTGGTGAGAAAAATAACTCTAATGAATATGATAAGATAATGAAGAAGGAACCTTAGCTGATGTGGCCCAGTGGATAGAGCATTGGCCTGTGGACCAAAGGGTCCCAGGTTCGATTTTGGTCAAGGGCATGTACCTCAGTTGCAGGCTCCTCCCCAGCCTGGGCCCCAGTCAGGGTGCGTGCAGGAGGCAACCAATCAATGTGTTTCTCTCACATCAATGTTTCTCTCTGTCTTTCCCTCTCCCTTCTACTCTCTCTAAAAATCAATGGGAAAGTATCCTGGGGTGAGGATTAAAAAATATAAAAAAAATAATGAGGAAGGAGAAGGAGGGCGAGGAGGAAGAGGAGGAGGAGGAGGAAATGCATAGCTCATATAGCAATGGAGACTTGTATGAGGTGGTGTGTGTGAGGCATCTGTACATGGCTCAGCCACTGTGTATCATTTCCCCCTCTCTCCCTTCTTCTCTTCGTGGAGTTCCTGGGAGAGAAGGCAGGGTTTCTGTGGCCTAGGCAGGAAAGCTATGGGCGGAGGGAAGAATGACAACTGTGTTCTTTTATTATTATTATTATTATTATTAAATCTTTATTGTTCAGATTATTACATTTGTTCCTCTTTTTTCCCCCCATAACTCCCCTCCTCCCAGTTCCCGCCCCACTCTCCGCCCTCACTCCCCACCCACTGTCCTCATCCATAGGTGCACGATTATTGTCCAATCTCTTCCCTCACCCCACACCCCTTCCCCTCCCCCCAAG